CATAAACAAACTTGAGAGCATCCACTCCATCTTCAGACAATCTGAAGCAAGGAATATTGTTATTATTATTTATATTGTTATCATTATTTTTACTTTGATATAAATTGGTGAAGACTGGTTTGTATCTTCTCTTCGCAAACATGTCTGACTTCCCGACACATAATGTTAATAATTAACTCTAAAAGAACAAGGCTACCACTTGCTACCAAGGAATTACACAACTACAAAATATAATTTTAAAATAATAAAATAATAATAATAGTTATAAATACACGGCAGCTGCAATGCTTCACCTTTTCAATAATGTTAGTATACTCATTAAGCAGTGGGCCTCCAGCTGGTAGTTCTGATGAAGTTAGAGGAAACTGGAGGGACACAAGACGATTGAGACTGCCCCTGTAATCAGTATTCATAATTAATAGCAGAGATGGTATATCTCACTTGAGCTGGGACTGATATTCAGGAGATGATAATAATAAGAATGAAGGAAGAAGGTCGATCATGACAGCCTGAGAGAGTAGGGAGCAGGTGTAAGAGAAGATTATAAAAATAAAAGAAATAATAAAAAAGGTATAGAAGTACTTTAAAACTCAATTCCAGTTTCTCGTCCCCAATCATGGCAGTGTACATGGTAACTAATGGTTTACTGCCATCAGCACTCTTTAATAGCAACTAAAATACGTCTAATTCAATTCTTATTTTAGTACATACAATGTACTTTTGGCTGTAATGCAATCATCTTTTGTAACAAGGTTACAGCTGCTGATTTCAAATCTTTGGAGCCATTTTCCCACCAAAGGCTCAAGTCCTGCCAGTGAGAGATTAGCTCAGTACACAATGTCTCTATAGTCTCCTTCTTCTTATTATTATTAATCTTAAAATCTTTCTGAACATGCTCCAACAGTGAATTAAGAATAACAGACGCCTGCATCAAATATTTAAAATTTAAAAGATTACTACTAATAATATAAATTGGTTACTTGTTGTGGGTGTGTCATAGCATTTTTCAATAAGATGTCAATTGCCGTTTTTATGTGCAATAATAATTTATTATTAATTAATCCTGAATATGTAATGTATAGCAGCAGACCATCCTGAGCAGCATAACTAGCACCTAACAACAAAGAAACAAAAATAAACAAAAACAAGCAATTTAAACAAACCAGCACCACTTTCAGCAGGAGAAAGAACCAATAGAAGAAATGACTCAACCTACATGTACACACAAAGATAAAACTGACAAACCTTTTATACTATTTTTCACTAACACTATCACTAAGCTCCAATCCTAACTTCAAAAGCAACTCTCCAGTTAGCTTGTGCAATGGAGGCACATAATAGCCAGGAGTACCATCACTAGAAGAAGAGGAGATTCCTCTAATGATAGCCAAAGCATTAGTATGTAATCTCATTGCTAAGGACTCCTCTTCACTGATGCCCATTGACTTTAGTACATCATTCAAGCACTTATTGGACTCTGCTAAGTAAATGTGTCCCTGGACTAGTCTGTTAAACAGTAATATGTCACTTGATGTTGTACTCTCATTATATGATACAGGTAGACGATTAATTACATTATTAGTCCTACAGGGAGAGGATTATTGAGCCATTAGGTTATAAGCATACATCACTACATGTAGTAATTATTATTATTATTATTATTATTATTATTTGCATTTTAGTTTAACTTACTGTCCAGTATTAACATTAGATGCAATGTATGCAATGAGGTTTTGCTTTATATCAATTGGTAGACTAGTACACATTGCAGTCAAACAAGACACAGCCTATATAATAATAATAATAATAACAACAACAACAACAACAAGTACATACATGTACACTCAGCTGTGTAGGCGTGTGTGTGTGTGTGTGTGTGTTAATTCTTACTGCTTCAGATATTCTTTTAGCAGTTGAGGGATCATCAGGTGTAGTATTAACTAATGATGAATAAAACAATGAATCCATTATTATACTGTAGAGCTCCTGAGACCAGAGTGAAGCAGGTACATACTACACACGTACAATAACAAGGATAATAATATGAATGGATCCTTGTCTCACTTCAAAAGAAACAGTCTCACTGGTATGTTTAGTTAATAGAAGTTCAATGAAAGTGAGCAACAGCTCAATAGTACACCACTTGTTCCTCTGGTACTCTCCTCTTTCATGGATACTGGTTGCCATAGCAACTTCAGGGGAATTGACCACGCCCTCAATCCCAACCAGAGCAATACACTTCAAGAAGTGATCGATACTCTTAAATAAATTGGAGGATGAAGTTGAAGAGAATATTTCTCTAGGAGACACATATTGCTCTTTTAAAAGCCACCTGTAATTATCAACAGCTGCTTGTAGAGACTGGAGCCAATTAATAGCAATATTTATATTAGGAGCAGGTTCTAGTGTTGGAGACTTTAATATCCCAGAATGACTATGTGATTCAAACCTATTGAATGTTTATGTGTCACCATTATTATTATTATTATACATGTACATGTACCTAGTGACGAAATAATCACCACCTTCACTTTCCATAGTTTTCCTAATCCACATCCTTATGTTCACAACATCTATGATGATGATACATGCACATTAAATGCTGCAGT